TCTACAGACTGAGTTTCAGGACAGTTTTGTGCATGGCGATAAACATGGATTGATCCGCATTCTTCTACATGCCAGTCTCCAGTTATGCCAGCACCATTTGTTGAAGATGCTTTCTTTATTCCATTGTATATTTTTAGCTTCTTTGTCAAAGATCAGATGTTCGTATGTGTGTGGGTTAATATCTGGGTTTTCAATTCGATTCCATTGGTCTACCTGTCTATTTTTGTGCCAATACCAAGCTGTTTTCAGGACTATAGCTCTATAATAGAGCTTGAGGTCAGGGATGGTGATGCCTCCGGACGTTGCCTTGTTGAACAGGGTTGTTTTGGCTATCCTGGGTCTTTTGTTTTTCCATACAAAATTGATTATTGTTCTTTCAAGGTCTGTGAAGAACTGTGCTGGGATTTTAATGGGGATTGCATTGAATCTGTAGATTGCTTTTGGCAGGATTGCCATTTTTACTACATTGATCCTACCTATCCAAGAGCATGGGAGATCTTTCCATTTTCTGAGGGCTTCTTTAATTTCTTTCTTTAAAGATTCAAAGTTCTTACGATACAGGTCTTTCACTTGTTTGGTTAGCGTTACCCCAAGGTATTTTATGTTGTTTGTGGCAATTGTAAAGGGTGATGTTTCTCTGATTTCTCTTTCAGCCCTTTTATCATCTGTATATAGTAGGGCTACTGACTTTCTTGAGTTGATCTTGTAACCTGCCACTTTGCTGAAGGTGTTAATCAGCTGTAAGAGTTCCCTGGTAGAGTTCTTTGGGTCATTGATGTAAACTATCATATCATCTGCAAACAGTGAAAGTTTGACCTCTTCCTTCCCAATTTGTATCCCCTTGATCCCCCTTTGTTGTCGTATGGCAATAGCTAGAACTTCAAGTACCATGTTGAAAAGGTATGGAGAGAGTGGACAGCCTTGTTTTGTTCCTGATTTTAGAGGAATTGCGTTGAGTTTCTGTCCATTTAGTTTGATGTTGGCTGTTGGTTTACTGTATATAGCTTTTATTATGTTTAAGTATGTCCCTGTTATCCCAGATCTCTCCAAGACCTTTATCATGAAGGGGTGTTGGATTTTGTCAAAGGCTTTTTCAGCATCTAGTGAGATGATCATGTGATTTTTGTTTTTCAGCTTGTTTATATGGTGGATTACGTTGATGGATTTTCGTATGTTGAACCATCCCTGCATCCCTGGGATGAAACCTACTTGATCGTGGTGAATGATTGTTTTGATGTGTTCTTGGATCCGATTTGCCAGTATTTTATTGAGTATTTTTTCATCAATGTTCAACTGAATACTCTTAACTTTTGTATTTTGTCTCCAGTCCCAGATGACAGTTATTTATGCCTTTAGAGGATATCAAGAAGAATTCTCATTTGTGAAGACATTTCTGCACACGTGATGTCCTGTGTTTACAGTGTTCTTAGTTGTAGGTAGTGTGTCAAGCACTGGAAACCTCAATTTCTTCAATACATATCCAGTCTATGCAGACAGAAAAACTTCTATAGCCTCTAACCAAGTGCACAGTTATCCCTCTGATGAAGTTGTTCAAGGAAATTTGCAGAAATGCAATCAAGTAATTGATTACATAAGTTTTTATGAAATTGTCAAACACTGTTCTAGGTGGTCAACATACATAACTGAGCCAAACATACAATCCTAGGACTCTGTTTTCAAATTGTTTCTATCCTAGAGGGAGCAAGGATTCAATATTACTGAAAGAGAGAACTTCCAAACAGCTTAGTGAGTGAGAGGTAAAATGTTAACGCCTCCTGCAAGAGGACAGAGCAGTTAGGTTGGATTATGTGGCATCAAAGAAGGAAGGATATATTATAAACTCTTTCATATTAAGTGGAATTCAGGAGAGAAGGACGCATGACTCACTTTTTCCATTGATGGAGGCATGCGTGTGTAATTATGCACCATGAAGTGCTTTGCCATGTTTGGGTATGTTGATGGATAGGTGGGGTTTCTCAGGGATGACACTGATAGTTAGTCAAGAGTCTATGGGTTCTTACTGCAAAACTGGAGAACTGTCACTATGGCTGGAAATAAGGGAAGTCAGAGAATTAAAATGAGAAGGATAGCATCATCATGATGGATGCTGTTTCCAGAAGGATGAATCTGTTTGTGCCATGTATGCTGGAGAAAGGACTCAGAAGTAAAGATCTTGTTCACTAGTCTAAGATAGAATGTTCCTGTGAGTCTGCTGTAGCCTTTGAACAGAAGATGCAGCTGGTCCTCATAGACTATTCTTCATAGCTTGTGACCTTGTACTTTGAAAGGCACCAGGGTATAGTGACAAGTGTTCTATGCAGGGAGGGTTTATCGCTCCACACCTGTCTCCTGAGGATGGTCTTCTTAGACTAGGAGATACAGTAGCGGGATACTTTGGTACCTACATTTCATGGTCCCCACCCATCTGTCTGAGCAGTCCTGATTCATGAAGGAGTCAGCTCAAGACAATGGGTTATCATGGCATCTCTGCCTCTCTGTTCATACTTGACCTCAAGGGGCATGTGGGCTCCCTGCCCCTAACTCCCAATTTATTGCCATGGTTGTTCCTGCACAGCTATCGATCACTGCCTGCTGAAGAAATGAAAGTGGAGCAGGGAGATAATGAAGGGACACTGCTGCTTTGCTACAGATGGCAATGCTCTTGGGAGGAAAGGGAAATAAGAAGCTCTGGTGGAGTGAAGGCAGCCATGACAAGGTGGCGGCAGATGTGGAACTGTCCCCCAGCAATGCCCAGCAGTAAAGTGCAGACCATTTTGCACATCCAAGGCCAGGGGTGCAAAATAGGAAATAGGAAAAGGAAAAACCAAAGAATAAACAAAGCCCTCACACAGACAGCTGTAGGTGGTTCCCAGACATCCAGGAAAGGGTCTGTCAAGTAATGGCTTTGGAAACTAGAGAAAAAGACTCATCTAGAGCTGGCACTGAACACCTGCCTCCATCTTTTTTATTTTTTAGGCCTTAATTTGTTCACCTCCTGTTTTCCAACTCCTGTTTTCCCTTTGCTGGGTTATTGCATAGCTGTGTTCAGGCCAGCTTCACTAATTTTCAATGCGTCAGTAATATGTGTACTGAAATTTCACAGGGGCGTGGCCAAGGGATGTGAGATATCGAGGAAATCCCACAGTGAGAGCTGTGTGGCTCTCTCAGACTTACTTGCTGCATTTCCTTAATTATGGATGCTTGTCTCTGTCACTGCCTGAGTTCCACTGCCTAGCAGGCTACTGTTTGTCCACTGAAACCCAGAATAGAAATCTTTGGCTTCCTTCTCTGCCTTTGTATTCGTTGTCTTTTATTTATAGCAATTACAAAACATTTTGTACTTTTAAGTCTACATTGTCTACAACTAGCCCTGAACATCAGGGATGCCTGAGTCTTCTTTGGTTGTTTTTTTCCCACTAGCAAATCATGTAACTCTTTTTATTTATTTTTTTATTTTTATTTTTGTTTTTTTAACATTTTTTTAAAAATTTTGAATAGCTTGTTTTACATGTCAATCCCAGTTCCCTCTCCCTCCCCTCCTCCCGCACCCTCCCACCATTCCCCCATCCTCCCACCCTATTGCCAATTCCTTCCGCATAGGGGATATCTAGAGTCTATCATTTCATTCAAGGTACAGGAAGGTCGACTGGGGGGGGGTAGGAAAGGGGGAAGAGGGAATCATAGGTTAGAAGACAGATCAGGCACCATTGTGACCTCTAGTGATCTAAAGGGATGACACCAATTGGCAAGCTAAGCAATAGTGTAGAGACCACTTCGAATGCCCATTCCTGATAGTGAACTTGATGTCTATAACCATCCTGGAGCCTTCATCCAGTGACTGATGGAAGCAGAGGCAAACACCCACAGTTAAATACTGAACAGAACCCAAGGAACCCAGCGACAGAGAGAGAGGAGCGAAGAGCAAATTGGCAAAGAATGGGCTGGCAAAACCAGCAGACAGCTGATCTGAACAGGGGAGAGCTCTTGGACCCCAGACCAACAGCTGGGAGGCCAGCATGGGACCGATCCAGACCCCCTGAATGTGAGAGTCAATGAGGAGGCCTGGGCTACCTATGGGGTCCTGAGCAGTGGATCAGTGTTTATCCCTAGAATACTAACAGACATCATGTGTCTATAACACAAAGAGGATTGCTCTTTCTGCCTGGACTCTTAGGGAAGTGCCTGGACCCTACCCCAAATCACGTAACTCTTGACGCATTCAAAACAGACAATATATGAAGCAGCAGACAACACATATAATAAAAAAAAAGGAGTATGTGAGCAGCTCGCCCCTGGCTCCATGAATATAACTAGTGTTTTCTAAAACACTATGAGGCCTGTTGTTAACTTGTGCTATCCTCCTGATGGCCCTGTGTGAGTTTGCCTTTGCCATATAGGTCAGCCTCTGGTTGAGTTGCAGAGTGATACTGCTCTGGGAGACAGCTCCACCCCTGAGTCACAGTGCCTCTGGGTTCTGTGGTTCCACTCCGTGTGAAAGGTCCTTCTGTAGCATTCTTGCAAGGTGAGTTTTCTAATTAGCTTTCCCTTATAAGGTGCCAGAGGGGACGATTGGTCAGAATTAAGGTCCACAGATGGGGTAACAGTGGCCAAGAGATTTTGCCTTAGGCTGCTGGGTGGGAAGAAGTCTTCCAGTTGACATCTGGTGAGAATGTAATGACTCAGAAGTCTATTCTCCACCCCTGGTCTCTCACCCACCAGTTCTCTTCACTCAGCCAGGTCTGGACTTTGAGAGCTAGAAACAGTTTACATCATGCTTACAACAGTGCTAGCTGAGTATAAGCTACTGTTCTTTAATGGCCCAAAGAGAATGAGATGTCTCAAACACCCATTAGTCCTCACATCTTAGAGCTGCCAGTAAAAGGCTGAGGCAAAACTGAAGAATTTATGGAGTATGGAGTCGTCAAGAGACTGAGGGGTAATCTAACAACACTGATAGGGAGACATGGTGGTCTTTAGCTATCTGATATTTCATATGCTGCTGCATGCAGAATGATGTATTTTTATTGCATAGATCTTTAGTATAAAATCAACAAATACTTCAGTGTTAAAACACAAAATCAGGAAGGAAAATATTGAATAATAAGTTCATTTATAATCCTAACATGTAGGGGGAAAATCCTGTTTATTACTGAGAATTTTTCTGTTTTTTTTAACTTGTCACTCAGATCCTTAAAGAGGGCCATGATTTTCATTTTATACAGGAAGAATGAATGTGCTAAAATGTCAGTAGGAGTGGAGGGCATTCAGTAATTCAGAAATGGAGGAATTCAGTAATTCTTATCCTGAGATCTTCATAGATTGCAGAGTGAGCGTCTAGTCATTCATTTCCAATTTCCTGGTTCTTCAAGTTTCTCCCAGGCCTTCATTTCTGCAATCAAAGAAAGTAATAGGACTCAGATTTGATGTTAATATAAGTACAGTGCTTCTAGATGAATATTGATCTCGATGTTCAATGTGTTGTTGTAAAGAAAAGTTAGTATTTGGTAGTGTTCAGAGACATTACTTTAGCTCCCCTCCAAGAGTGTGACCAGGGTTCCTGTAACAAGGACTGCTTTTTAAGATACTTCTTCACCTGGTCCACCGTCAAGGCCATTATTACCATGCTCTTAGGTCTACCAAAGGAAGAAGATAAGACAGCTCTAACTGCAGTCTTGAGGGATCTACACTCACTCTAGTCCAGGAACAGGCAAGAGTCAACTGCAGCATCCACTGCACCCACGCTAGGAGTCAGTTATGGTGTAAAGGTCATTTCAACATTCAAGTTATGTCACATCTTATGATTACACACAGATTACCCGTGGGCCAAATCTTTTCCTGTGGTGCCCAGACAGTGGGACAGGAAAAGCTTCCTAGGAACAGACCCCATCTTCAACACCTATGTACGTCTTCAGACTGGAAAAGCTAGTGTGTGAGGAACGCAAAGGATTCCTAGGCGTTATATTTGTATTGCTCACCTTCAGCTTTCTTACTGGAGGCTGACTTCAGTCTGGGAGAGAACATTGCTTCAATTGGACCAGAGGAATCATTATGTGGAAAACAACAACAAAAAACCCTACTTGTTCCTGGCTCTGCTCTGTAGACTCTTGCCCCTAGAGAGATGTGTGGCTTCTGCCTTAGTATGCAACCCTGCTCAGGAAGCAAAAAATGAAATTTTGGAACACATATACCATTCAGAAACAAGGATTTGGCACTGGTGGGAATAGTCCCTGTGTTGGATTGAATTGTACTGTACTGTGGATTGGCAGGGGGAAAAAAGCAGGGAGTGGCCCGTGCATGTCACTGGCAAAAATACCCATACAGAATTCGTTAAAGCTTGTTGAGTAACGATGACAGTGGAGATGGAAGTGATCGCAGTTCCTGCTCTCAATGTATTCTCTGTGCTGCTTGACCCCCATTATTTTCTCTATTACCCTGTAAAAGACTTTTCATTTCTTCCGTTATATACAAGAAAGATGGTATCCACGCCGAAGGGAAACACTCTTGTAAAATCACTCAACTAGTCATGAACCCTGCTAGATTACAGCCAGTTAAATGTCTTTCTCTTTTCTCTTGCTTTGCGTTGGACTCTCTGGTCGGGTGCATTACCGAGGCTGCAGAATGCGATGATTGCATGCCGGTATCTAGGCCACTGAGCTGAGAAGCCACCACAAAGAGACCCGCCATTTTGACTGGCATGAGTGGATGACATTTTGCAGCAAAGGTCTTCCCCCAGGAATTATTCTTCCCTAAGGTATCATCTAAGAGATGATGGGAGAAGAGGCTGTCGGGAGGCCTACAGTAGAAGTAGGAGGCCTGTACCTGTTCCCTGAATCTGTTGGGGCACATCACAACTCACGCATCTTCCCCCAGCCTCTAACACGTCGTTTGGAGAAAAAGAGATTATCATTAGATAGAAATGGCACTAATATCCTGACACCTGATTAAAAGCAGAATGAAGATAAAAATGATTTTGCTATCCTTCCTGGACTGGGAAGCCAACCCTCCCCATTCCCCTGGGGAAATGGCCCTCTCCCAGCGGCAGCCTGCTCTCCACTTTGAAGTTGCTTCTAAACCTGTTTGCTTTTGGAGCTCCAAAAATGCTTGTGCTCGCTGCCGCAGGCTGGCCCAGCAAGGTTGCTCATGCTGAGACTGTGGCTGGCTTCCCGGGTGAACAACCAAGACAGTTAATTACATCAACCCAATTAGCAGCAGCACCCACCTTGTGCAAGCAAGGCTCACCTGCAGACTCACCCGTCTGGCAAAGGGCCCCCAGGCTTTAGTGGAGAAGCTGCTGAATTGAGAGACTAAACGTTTACCGGTGACCTCTTCTCTGTACCCTCTTGTCTTACAGATAAGTAAAGGAACTGGAAAGAGACCAAGCCCTTACACCACAGTCTGCGGGGCAGCCTACAGATAGGCATGGCTTCAGATTGTTCCACTGGGGAGGGAGTCTTCCTTCACCACCTACGAGTGATCAGAGGCGGAACACGATCAGATATTGCCTTTGGTAATGAGGTTGTTTGCTTGCCTCTAAGAGAGCCCAGAAGAGACAGAGCCCTCTCTCAAAGACAAAAACGTGACAGCTGTTTTCCTTGGCTCCATATTCCCACTTTCCACCTTCACAAGGAATCCAAAGTGCTGGGTTCAAAGATGAAATCTAATCCTGTTAGCTGCCTACCAGGAGTTAGTTGCTTAAACTCTCTGAGCCTTGATGAGTTGTTGGCTAAAAGTGTGGTTATATACACTGTAGGGATGAAGAACTATCCAGTGATTGGCATCAAGTAGGGAGAGAATATCTCCAAAGGGCATCATTGGGATAGAAGAGCTCCATGTTGGGCTTGCACTGCTGGTCAAAGGACTCAATGCATTTGTCCAAGGCCAACAACTCTCTTCTGAGACACATGGATTTTGCAGAATGCAAAACTCAAAATAATGCCTTTTCAAAGCTGAGGAAAATCACTTACTCAGCTCAGTTATGAGAATAAGGGTGATGATAGACTTGAAAGTATTGAGCAGAATGAATGCACTGAGTATGTCCTAGAAATGTATCCATTGCTTTCCTTTCTCTCCAAGCCTGCCCCTCATCTATAAAATGGGAATTCAAATACTATTTCCTCTAAGCATAAAAACTCATCTTCTTAACCATGTGATGATAGCAGTGAGGTTATCCATGTGAGTGCTTTCTCCACATTCATTAATTGACATGTTTTGAAGGTCCTTGTTGAACTGGACCCTGTAAGCCCTATTGTAAAAGCTTGGCAGAGCCAGGCTCCCATCCTAGTGTAGTCAATAGCTTGAGGAGGGAGCTAGAATGAATAGTACAACAATGTCATGCACGCTACTGTGCCAAGTTCAATGGCAGCAGAAGTGTACTAAAAGGCACCTCAGTGTAAGATAAGGGACATAAGACTTTCTGATGACGAGAGATTATGAGACTTGGATTCAAGCAAGTAATAGGCAGCCCCACAGAGAAGCTGAGAAATCAGGCACAATTGTAGGCTGTTAGATGGAAAGCAAGGCAGACTGAGAGACTCCTTTAGGAATATAGCATCTCTCCATCTTCTTGGGGGCTCAGAGCAGCTGGCCAAGTGCCTCCCACTCCCATGGATTTTCAATGCTATGATTCTTCATTTTTCTATACCCATTTGCAGGTAACTGGGGTCTCAGCCCTTAGCTTCTGCTTGGAAACCTGGGTCATAACTTAAGGGAAAGTTTCCCTGTGGAAGAATCATGACCTTTCAGTTTCCTTCATTTGTTTTGCATAATCAGTCACTCACCAGCAAACCTGGGGGGGTTGCTATCAGATGGCAGGTGACAGGAGTCATGGAAGGGATTCAACTTCTCTAAGGTGGCTCAGTGATGTCAACCCAATTACCCGAGACAGCTTACCTGCATGGCAATGGCCCTCGGGTGTCAGTGCCTGTGTAGACTTGGGTGGAATTCTTTGCTGGGACACTTGGCTGACAGAAAGACTGCTCATCCCTCTCTCTTTTTCCCCTCCCGAAGAGAAAGCAACAACAGCCCCTGGCCAAAACCCAGAGATCTTGCATGAGTTCTGGGGATGACAAGACACACTGCAACTTTAAATATGCCACCAAAGAGATGCTTCAGGGCTGGAGCTGATATTCCTCAATCCTGTACCTACCTGGACCAGAGTTTATGCACAGGTTAAGGAATTCCAGTCTGTTCCATGAATAGCTGCTTCTCTTGCTTCCACCCTATGCTGAGCTACACTTCGCTGCTTCAGTTGCCTCAGTTTCTTTTCTAGAACTCACAGGGCCTCTTCACAACCCAGACTGAATGTGTGAGAGCAAGCATGGAGGGGCTGTGGACTCTGCACCCCCTTTTATTTGTCTTGAGTGTACAGAATGCATTGGCTGTTAGACATTGCAGGTAGGACCTTTTTGGAATTTATGGAGTATTAAATATGTGGGCTTAGTGGGCTTGTTCATTCCTAAGTTATTGTCCACCTTTAACTGTCCATGATTTTGTAAATGCTGAGACTGACTATAGGAAGAATGTCTCAGAATCCTACTGCAATGGCATATCAAAGTACAGAACAGTAGCACAGTCTACAAGGGTGTGTTACAGAACAGCAGAAAGACCTCAGACAAAGACGGGGATTCAGCAAATGGAGTTCCAAGTATCTGCCATTAAATCAGAGCTTAATTCCTCCTTCCCTAAGATGAAAAGAAAGTTCCCAGTGCAGGTCTGTAAAAAACAAGGAGGATGGGAAACACACACACATACACATTCACACACATATACACGCACGCATGCACATACATCACACACACACACACTTCACAAACATACCACACCACAAACACACATACCACATACACCACACACCACAAATATACCACAATACATCACACACACACACACACACAGACTATACACACACACGCTCATACCACATACACCACAGCACACAGCATAATATATCTCACATACACACCAGATACACCACACACCATACATACACTATGCCACACACCACAGGCCCCCTACAATACAACACACATGTATCACACACCACACATACACACTGCACATTACAGACTCCCCACACCACAATATACCACACCATACACACACACCACACATTACACATACACACACACCACACCCATACCACCACACACCACAGCCCTACCACCACACATACATCACACACACACACCACACACACACACACACACACACACACACACACACACACACACACAGGCACACCACACAAGGGGAATTTCCCAGAAGACATTTCAACAGCAGTGATTACACTTCCAACAGTTACCCTCTACTGTGTTACCAAACACGGTGACAACAGCACAGTTCTATTCAAGCACACAGCAAGGAGATCCTTCTGATAAGATATCCTCATTGCAGGTTGGTTACTGAAGAGTAAGGAGCTGACCTTACAGGCTCCTTTGTATCTGCAGGGAATTAGACAGGAAGTGGACTAACCGGTCTGGTTCTTGGAGCCTGGGGTGAGGCAGCCTTAGCTCTGAAAGCATCTCCTTTAAATTTACTGATTCATCTCTTTGTGCCCCTTTCCATGTCTGAGAGGGTGGGAGACAAATTTCCTGCCCTAGAGAGAGCATGGCAGTGAACAGAAATTCATAGACATGATGGGGAACTCCCTTTTTCTGAAGGGATGTGGTTTTTTCCCAAAGGGACCCACTAGAACCTTTCCTCTGTCTTCCCTAAAGCCTCAGTCTTCATGACTAATTTGGGAAGGCACCTACTTTGGGGACCACTGGTCTGGTACTAGGAGAGATGTCCAGGCAGTTACCCTATCAGTACAGGACTTAGACATCAGAGGTGAGTGCCTCTCTTTGCTACTATTTTCCAGACTCCTGGGGCAACAGCCATGGGCAATGACTCGATTCCTGCCCTGTTATGAAATGCCTGTGCCAGCTTAGCAGTCACCTGCCTTGTTGGTATTTGTCCACATGTAGCATTCTCATGGCTCCATGCATGTCCTCTGCTCAGGTGTAGCCTGTGCAATGCCTCACTTCCCCAATGATAAGGCCTCTGGCTTTCGAACTCCATTTAAATTTAGCAAGGAAATCAGATTCTGGTCTTACTTGCCATTGCCTGGTAGACTCTAAGAAGAATTCTCCTTGCAGCATCTTACTGAGTTTAATTCCTGTGTTTTATAGTTGGAAAACGCCAGGACTAGAATTGGAATGTGGTTTTGCCATTCCCTCCAGTCCTGAGTGACCGAGTTAAAATGTGTGGCTTTGAGCCCATTGCCCCCCATACTGCTTGGTCATCTTTTAATCCTGTGTATGTGAGTTCATGTATTCATCCAGTGAGCACTTGCATTTATCTTCTATGTTGTGTACTTTTTCACACTTTGGAAATACAGCAATGAATACACTCCTATCACAGAAACTATCTCAAAGGATGCAGTCAATAAAGGAAGTAAACCAGGTGAATTGTAAGTAGAAAGTTTAATAATAAAAGTGTGAGCATGTTGAACAGAGAAAGGCAATGGTATTGGTGACTGCAGAAGTTCAAATGTAAAGAGATAGCATGCCTGGTCACCACAAGAAGGTAGACTGTGATTCCCACTTGCCACAGAGGGGACACATGGACACGTATAAGAATAGATCAGGTGGAAGGAATTTAATGCAAAGAGCCTGAGGCAGGAGTATGCCAGCCAACACCAGGGACAGTAAGGAGACCAGCACCATGGACTATAGGGCAGAGGGTCTAGGAAACAGAACAGAGAGGCCACTGGTTCCAATGTCATGGGCAAATCTAATAACTGGGCTGGTAAGTGGGAAAAGTAGCGAATGATTTGTAGAATGACATGATTTGACTTGTGTTTTTTCAGTATGCCTGTTTCTGTGCTAAGAATATACCAAACAGAGACAAGAGCAGAGGCTGCTTCCAGAAAGATATGTTGGTTGCTTCGAACAAGGAGCTGAGAGTGGTGTCAGGCACAAAAGTGGTGTCCGTAGATAGCAGAGGTGGACAAAAGCTTGGGAACCGTGGGTATGAGGTCATGAATGGGAAAAGCCTGTTTAGGAGAGGATCTGAAGTTAGCATAAGAGTATAGGCAATCATAGAAGGCTTAGGGTTTCTATTGCTGCGATGAAACATCATGACAAAAAGCAACTGGGGAGGAAAGGGTTTACTTGGCTTACACTTCAGCATTGCTGTTCATCACTGACGGAAGTCTGCACAAGAACTCAAATAGCGCAGGAAGCTGGAGGCAGGAGCTGATGCAGAGGCCATGGAGGGTGATACTTACTGGCTTGCTTCCCCTGGCTTTCTCAACCTGCTTTCTTATAGAACCTGGGACGACCAGCCCAGAGTTTGCACCACCCACTATGGATTAGGCACCACCCACCAAGGACTGGAATCCATTGATCACTAATTGAGAAAATGCCTTACAGCTAGATGTCATGGGGGCATTTCCTCAACAGAGCCTCTGTCCTCTGTGATGACTCCAGATTGTGTCCAGTTGATGGAGATGCTAGGCAACAGAGAACAAAGGGATATAGGTAGACAACAGGAAGGCTTGGTAAAGTAGACAAACGCTTCACCATCCAGTTCTTTATGCCAGAAAAGTATTTCATGTTTTGAGATCTTTGGAATCATTTTAAGGGAGAAGTATCATAACAAACAACTTTGAGAGATCACTGTGACCTTCATTTTATTTTCATAAACGTGTGTATTAAAGGTATCAGGTGAGGTAAAAAGTGAAAAGGATCAAAAATCAGAGTAAAAACTACATTTGTGACAAAACTTTCCAGTCAAGTGTTTTGCTGCCCACATGGCTGCTCACATGCCTAGCAAGGATTCATTCCTCTCAAACAATGGTTCTCAACCTGCGGGTCATGATCTTTTGGGGGGTCACATAAGACCATCAAAAATTTACATTGCAATTCATAATAGTAACAATGTGGAAATTATAAAGTAGCAACGAAAATAATTTTTAACATGAAGAGCTCTATTAAAGGGTCACAGCATTAGGAAGGTAGAGAACCACTGCTCTCTAGTCAATGAAGCCTTCCATTGGTCCCTGTTTGCAAGGATGGAGTGAATGTTCTCCGAGGCTCTGGATCTCAAACTCATGAGTTTTGTTTTTTTCTTCTTGATGACTCAGCCAACCTCCAGGTCATTTTCTTTTCTTTTTAAAATGTCTCCCTTAAGTCCTTGACTCCCAAGTCTCTGTGCTGCAAACTGAAGCAGGCTACTTGATGCTCACAACGATGAGTATTGGGATTAGTAGTAGGCATGGACTTAGATGGAGGCAGGCAATGGGATGGAGAGGAGGGTGCTCTTGAAGAACTTAAAACCGATTATTAATAGAAGTTTGTCTGCTCTGTTATTTCCACATGCCACCAATCATAGACAGCCACAATGATAAATCGCCTTCCCACTGGGGCAGACCCATCCCAGGCTCCCTGTTCCCAGTTTGAATCACTGTAGGGGATTCCTTATTGATCTCCATAATACCCGTTTTTCCCCTCCAACACCAAAAATGCAAGTATTTCTAGTATGACAACTGAGCTATAAAAGCACCCATCTCTGGCTTCCCCAGATCCCAGAGTCCTCCTGTGGTTAAAGCTCCATCATTCCATTCTCACTTGGTCAATACCACAATTCCCGATAAGAGCTGAAACAAGTTCTATTTACTCTTGTGTGCCACAACAGTCTTTGGTCCAATTCAGGGTGTCTTCTGCATTAGCAAGAAGGAAAACTAGTTTTGATTCTGACCCTACCAGGAATAGCTTGGATGACTTTAAGCAAGTCACTTTCCCTCCGAGAGGCTCAATTTCTCATTAGTAAGGTTAATATAATACCTACAAAGCTGAAGTCACAGGATTGCAGGGAGGACCAAATGACATCATGGCTGTGAAAGCCACCACCCCGTATTAGCCACAATGGTGGCTGTGAATGGTAGAGGTAATATTCTTCACAATGCAAGACTCTTTGATTTTGCTTGTATTGTTTAGTTTTACCTGCGGTACATTTTGTCTTAGCCATTGTACACCATATGACAACAAGCTGTAGGTTAAATGCCTTGCAAGGTTTCACTATCCTCTACAAGCCTACCCTGAACCCTGGTCTCAAATACCTCCCAATCAAATGCCTCTCAAATACCTCCTTTGTACTCAGGCAGGTACCAGCACATCATCTTATTTTGTGCACGGTCATCTCTCTTGGTCTGTATGAAGTGCTACATCTCATGTTTATTTAACATCCTTCCTAATTGAAAACACACAATGGATGTTAAATCAAGTCTTGACAGCGTGAATGTCTGAGTGAATAAATGGAGGCAGAGACGCATCTTTTTTTAACCCTACAGTGCAAAACATGCTAATAGTGCCCTCTGCTGCTGACCAGTGGGTCCATGTTTTCCATGCAGTAGAAGAGAATGCAGGGGACTAAGAGTAGGCAAGACAGGTAGGAATTGTTGTGCCTTTCACAACGTGTGGAGCTGAGGAGAACAGCAATAATGGCTGAAATGTCATGTTTGCACAAATTTAGGGAGTCAAGGGGCCCTGTGGGGTGGCTGTGGGAAAGTCAAGGTTCTCTTCCATTTACACAGGTAGTAGCTATCTACTTTGTAGTTAGAAAACCTTTCGATTTTATGTAATGACTCTCCCTTTTCCTGTGTCTGTACCAGCTCTTTACATCTGGAGGTTATTCCCTCATGCTATGATATGAAAATTGATTTGAAGTTTCTAAAGCTTCCGTCAACAATCAACAACAACTCCAGTAAACTGTCAAAGTACTCCCGGAGACTCTCAAG